CCGACGGGCGTTTCACGGGCCGGGGGCCCCCCCTCGCCGCGCCGCTCCGGGAGGAAAACCGGCCGGCAAGAGAGCCGGGACACGCTCGCCGGCTGGGGGCGAGCTCGTGGAAAGCGCCCCCAAGCCTCTCATCTCCCCAAACCTCGTCTCCAGGCGGAAAAGTCCGGCTGCGAACGGACGGGATCCGAAAGCGTCTGGTAGCGAGATGGAAAAAAAAGGGGCGGAAAGCCCTAATCCTTATGAAGGATGAGACTCAGTTGTTAAACTTTAAGGGGTATCCGATGGCTTTTTCCAGGCACTCTACCAAAGAGCCGGCGGAAAGAAAATCCCTCTCCACTTCCACAAATTTGATGTAGATGGATTTGGGCGACACGCCGGGCTCTACGACGCAGTTCTGAGATAAAAAGGCGTTGATCCCGACCCAATCTTTGCTGAAGGTTTTGGTGTTTGCCTGAAAGTGTAAAAACAGGCACTGCTGGAGAGTCCGGACCTCGGCGATGCCGAGGTAACAGTAGATAATCCGGGCGGATTCCATGTCCACCCGGAGGGCGGCTTGCGGCGAGGGGACCTCCAGCTCCCCTTGAGTCTCATTGCCGGAATCGGGCCCCCGGTGCTCGGCGAGAGGGGAGGGGGGCTTCTCGTGGCACTCTTCGTATCCGATGGCGTACAAGCCGGGGCTTTTGGGGATCCCGCCCGGTAATAAATACTGAACGACGTTTCCTCCGGTGGGCTTGGAGTGAGCGATGGGGATCCAGTCGATCTCCATGTGCAGCTCCAGGCACCTGGCCTCGCTGATGGTGATCTCCAGGAATTTGTAATAAACGTTTTTCCAGTTCATTTTCTGCACTCTGGTCATGATCACCCGACCCTCCGGCTTTTCCGAGTTGAAATATTCCCGCAGCCGCTTGCCCAGGGGTACCTGCGAGCTGATCTCCGCGTAGTGGTAACGAATATCCTCCTTCCAGCGGGTGTTGTACCCGATGCCGAAAATGGCCAGTTTGTTAGAAAGGTGTAGCCGGGAGAAGTCCGTCCAGCTCTGGAACAGCTCCCACTTCAACTGGACCGACTCCAAGATCTGCATGATGTTCTGCATGACGTCGCGCTTCCTGGGAATTAAAAAAAACATGGAGAGAGAAGGATAAAGGCATCAGTAAACCAGAGCGGCAAAACCACCCCGGCAAGCGCGGCGACCTTCGGGAAACACGACCCCCTTTCAGCTTCCTCGAAGCTCGGGGTGTTCCGCTACCACGTACGCCCTGCGTCGAAAACCCACCCCGAACCCCTTCCCGTCCCGCGGGCAAACGACCACCTCTGCTGGAGGGGAGGCTCCAGGCGAGAAGTTCCGCAGGAGATGGCCCAGCGAAGAAAACGAGCGCCGATAAATCCCCAACGTCAGCTTCTGAGAGATTTTGGCTCTTACCAGCTCCCCAAAAACCACACAGTGGGAACGTCCCACTCCTACCGGAGCTGCTTCAAAGCGACTGCGGCACGAGGTCCGTCATAGAATCATAGAATGGTTTGGGTTGGAAGGGACCCCTAGAGGTCATCTAGTCCAACCCCCCTGCAGGAGCAGGGACAACCGGAGCCGCGTCCCTAATTTGTGACCGCCACCTTCCACCACGTCATTGCTCCAAAATTAACGCGAGGGCGCGGGGCTGGAATGGTGAGAAACATCCTTAAACCACAAAGCGAGCGCCAAGCCGCTCCGAAAAGCTCGGTCCCAGCGCCGGATCAGGAACACGGCTTGAAGGGTCCGACGCGCCCGGATGTGCCCGATGCGACAACCCGCAGCGCGACGGACAGGGGAAATCCCTCTGGGGGCCCAGTGGAGAAATCCCAGCAGTTCCAAAGGTTTCTTTTCACGCCCGGTAGCACCGCCGGCATCAAAGCGAGTTTCCAGGGAGGGATTTACGCCTCGCTAAGCGATGGGGAGGGCAGCCACGCGTGCCCGAAGCGAGCCGAACAGCTTCCCGCAGGAGGAATGAGCTGCTTAGGGCGTAATTAGCAGGGGGAACCGCTCATTTCAGGAGTTATCGTCCTATAATCAACGCTGTCAGAAGAGAAGGCGACGCCTTCGGTAACGGGGAAGCCTCTCTAGGTCCAACAAACGGGATTTGAGAGCGTCCTCCACGCGATGCTCCTCCCATTTATTGGCCGAGCTGCAATGGCGCGGGGGCCACCGCAGCCCCCAGGGGACCGTTCCTCGCCCCAGCGGGAGCACGCGCTGCGCCTTCCGTCCAAGCCACACTGCTTTTCTCTGGCGGGCCGCACACGACCCTCCTTCCTCCTCTGCTGTGTTCACAAAGGTCGTTTGAATTCCCCTAAAATCCGCTTCTCCCACCAGCTCGGTGTGGAGTCGGGGCATGAGATGGGCACGCAGGGCTTTAAGCAAGACGCCCCATGAACCACGCGAGGATACGCCTGGCGTTGCGACTCCGGCACTGGCATTTCTGCCCAATAAATCCCGACGTGGACCAGGAGATCTTTTTTTCTCCATCGTATCGACATAAGCATTCAAAGCAAAAAAGGTTTGGGAGCTGCAGCCCCTTCCCACCGTGCTGGAGAGGCCTACCGAGCGGCAGCAGCCGCACCGGAAGATTCCTAGATAGAGCTGAAAACTGTGTTTTGGCATCTCCGCCACCGTCGGGGCGTAACCGAGTTCCTCCAGCACCAAGGAGGGGAGCGGAGCTGCCTGTGAGTTTTTAAGAACACCCATTGCATGGTCAAGAAACTCCTGTTCCTTATTTTAAGTTATTCCTGAGGAGTCGTCGCCACTTCTCCCTGTCCAGCAGCAAAGGAGGGGGCAAGGAGAGAAACACCGAGCAAGAAAAATGTGTATTTCCCCCAAACCCGCTTATAGTTACGTGCAAACACCACGGCCATACCCAACCATCCCCAAGGCTTCTTCAGGTGCTGAGCAGCGCAGCATCGCTCCGCTGGGAAAACGTCTTTTTTTTTTTTAGATTTTTGGCAGTGGAAATTCACCTTCTGGGGACAAGACCGGCCCAGGGGAGCAGCCAGCCAAGGGGCCAGGGTGGGCACGGGGACAGAGCCCGTGTCTCGCCGCTGTTAAGGCACGCATCCGACCGGAGACAGACAGCCCAACTCGAATTGCAAGTCCCATCCAAACCCCGAGACAGCAGAAAGCAGCGTGGGTAGGTTTTCCTTCAACAGCGGAGGAACAGAGCTAAGAACCGCACACACACAAAAGAAAAAAAAAGCCCCCACCTTTATTAATTACACTATAAATATTCTCGCCAAGTTTAGTTCAGCACAAAATAGAGCTGAAGCTCTGGGGGAAAAAAAAAAATAATAAAAAATCGGTGACTCAAAGTGCTCGTGCTGGGAAGGGGAGTCATCGCAACGGGGAAGGGGAAG